TGCAGGCGGTGGAAGGTGACACCTGAGCTGGGCCTGCACCTCTCACGGCGTCAGAGGACCCGTGGCGCCTCCCTCTCGCGGATCCCCCAGGACACTTGGCACGTTTTGCCTTAATTTTTGATAATGAGACGGCGCAGGGTCCGCCTCTTGTCCCTGGGCATCGGCACAGGCATTTCTGTTTTTTATTTACTTATTTTTTAATGTTTTCAGTGATTTTTAGAGAGAGGAAGGGGGAGGGACAGAGAGAAACATCGATGTGAGAGAGACGCATGGATTGGTTGCCTCCTGCACGCACCCGACCGGGGCCCGGGGGTCAGGCCTGCACCGAGGTGTGTGTCCTCGGCCAGAATCCGAGCTGGGACCCTCCAGCCCGAGGGCCACTCTAGCCACGACCCAGCGAGGGCGGCAGGAACTTAGAGGGAAGTGGTGCAGGGAGACTTCTCGTCCCCCCAGCAAACCGTGCTCCCCCCGGGATGGCTCCAGGCTGTGCTGCCCTCCCTCCACTCGCCCCCAGGACCCCAGACTCAGCCCTCACCTGGCCGCTCACCTTCAGCAGGTGCTGTGTGTCCCGTCCTCTCGCTTCCTCTCCTGCCTCGCGGGCCTCTGGTCGAGGGGTTGGTTATGGGCAGGACCCACAGCCCCCGGGGGACGAGCCAACCTCACCTTCGCTCCCTGCTTCTCGCCCAGACCTGGAGGAGAACAGGCTCCTGGTGCTGGACACCGACTACAAGAACTTCCTGTTTGTCTGTGTGGAGAGCATACAAAATTGACAGCTTTCATAGTGTGGAATCAGAGGTTTAAGAGTACAAAATTGAGGAGGAGCAAAGTATGTAGCTGAGACACAAAAGCAGACCATAAAATTGACCTTGCGCACGGGGAGCGTCTTTCTCCCCTGGCGGCCTCCCCATCCCCCAGGCCTCCTGGGAGGTGGGTGGGAGGTAGAGGTGCAGAGCCCCTGAGGTGGGGACCCCTGGTGTGGTCACTGACCTGTGACCTCCCACGTCACCCCTCCTCCCGCAGAGAGGTGCCGTGTCTAAGCGAGTCCTGCTGACCCGCCTCCTGGGTAACGTATCTGTCCTGCTCTGCGTTGGGTGTGGGGTCCCGGGGACCCTGACTTCCCTCCATCACCCCCACCCCACCCCCCGTAGGAAGGGCTGCAGCCTGGGTCTCCTGGGAACTCGGGGATCGGCTGCCTCTTGCCCACCCTCTGAAGGGCTGTGAACTGCCCGTGTGCCTCCTGTGTCCTGGCCACACGCACAGGCGACGCCCCAGGAT